TGTGTAATTTAGGCAGTGAAAAGAAAGCATCATCTCAAACATTAGATGGTGTAGATGTAATGGGTGAACGATTATCCGAGGAGGTTAGTTTCTCATTTTTCACATACTTATACAGTAATAAAAAGAAACAAAGGTAGGATGCTATAATACACAGATATATAAACAGTACATTGCTATTGCTTCAGGTTCTTGAAGTGATTAAGCAAAAGCCAAATCTTCGCAAGATTTCTTTTGTTGCACATTCAGTGGGAGGTTTAGTGGCAAGATACACTATTGGGAGATTATATAGGCCTTCATCAGTTAAAGACTCTGAGGACTCAAAACCCACAATAGGTGGTTTGATTCCAGTGAACTTTATAACTGTTGCAACACCTCATCTTGGTTCAAGGGGCAACAAACAGGTACTTTTTGTTCCTCCCAAATTTACAAATTTACCCTTGCTTAGTAAAATTTACATATAAATATAATAATTGGTTTTGGAATTGTTTTGTAAGGTGCCTTTTCTTTTCGGGGTATCTGCTTTAGAAAAAGTTGCTGTAGCTATTATACATTGGATATTTAGAAGAACAGGTAGGCACCTTTTCCTTACGGATAATGACGAAGGAAAGCCTCCACTACTTAAACGGATGTTGGAGGATTATGATGATTGTTATTTCATGTATGTTTGGCATACCTGTTTTTGAATTTTAATTAGTGATTTACATTATCAGATGTTTCTTCTATTGGTTTTTAATATTTTTAACAAAATCCAGGTCAGCATTACGCTCATTCCAAAGACGGGTCACATACGCAAATGTTGGCTATGACCGTATCCTTTGCACCCCTATTAATGTGGCTGAAAATATTATATAAAAGGAGTACGTTGCAATTTTAGTGATATTTTTTTTGGGTTTTGGTCCTAAAAGGAATCGGTTTGCAAGTTTGGTCCTTATTTTGATGTTTCATGATGCTTTTGTTCCCTTGATCGTTAAATCTAACTAATCAGTTTTTCTTTAATCAAATGACCACTTTGCCCTTTGGACTTAAAGAAAATTAGCATACCATGGGGACCAAATCTGTAATTGTCTCTTGATTTTGTTATCAAACTTTTTTATAAATTATCATGTATTTTATTTTTAGTTATCTTATAGGAATGTTTTTTTAGTTATTTTTCATTTAAATAGGACCATTTTGTCTTTAGCCCACCGACATTTTTTGTTCATTATTTTTTGAATTTTGTAAATACCAATGTCTTGAATATGAATACAATTTGCATTACAATAAATTTTCATATGTAGTAATGTGTTAAAAAGTTATAATTTTGCAAATTGTATCTGTGTTTAAACTAGTAGTATTTACATTTTACAAGATTGAAAATTATGAACAAAAAATGTCAATGGGCCAAGGAAAAAATGGTCGTTTAAGGTAAAATAATTTAAAAACTTGTAGTTTTTAAGATAATGTAATAGAATACCTTATTATTTTGAAAATAGTTTAATAATGAATTTAAGAGAAAATTACAAAATTGTTCCCTGTGGTAGACTGTTTTGTTTTCTGGTTGGTCCAAGGGCTAAATGGTCATTTAAAAAAATACCAAACAACTGAGAGTTAGATTAATCGATTGAGGGACCAAAATTGTTATGAAACATCAAAATAAGGACCAAAATTGCAAGCTAATTACTTTTGGGACCAAAGTTGTGATTTAACGATTGAGGGACCAAAATTTGTGATTCATTCTTACTTTCCTTGGTTTTCCCTAACTAACAAAATTAGATATTGTTGGCTGGAGAACTTCATCAATTAGGCGTAACATAGAACTACCAAAGGTACATACATCATAAGCTTTAATGGTCGGATAAATCTTTGTTGTCAATGTACATTGTTAATTTATATATTTTTGATTTTGTGGTTGTAGTGGGAGGACTCGGTAAACGAAAAGTATCCTCATGTCGTGTATGAAGAACGCTGCAAGGCGTATGATTTTGAGCTGGATTTGACAAGTGGCGATAATTCGGATGATGTGGAAGGTTTGTATTTGGGGATGTTTCTTTTTGACTTAATTGCCACTTAATCTGGACAGCTATCGTTTTGACTTAATAATCTAGACAGAACATAATGGGTTAAGCCAAAAAACTGGCTTAATGTATTAAGACACTTTCCTTTACCTGTTTGCCCTTATTTGGTTATTCCTTTTCCTCCCAACTCCTCTCACCTTAAAATTTATGAATATTGTGAATTGTTTTTTTTTTTATTTTTTTTTTGAATGCAAGGGTAAAATGGTCATTTAGTATCGTTGAGTCAGTTTGTTCGGTACATAAATAAAAGAAACAGACTATATGTATTGTATACAACACTTAATCCGGTCAGACATCATTATCCATTCGGGCAGTTAACCATAATCTGGAGAGAATGACTCAATGGGTTAAGTGAAAAAACCCGGCTTAATGTATTAAGACACCAACCCCTTTATTTATTTGCCCTTGTTCATTTTTCCTCCCTATTCCTCTCGAGTAAAAATCAATGAATATTGTGATTTTTTTAAAGTAAGGGCTAAAATGGTCATTTAGAATCATTCAGACGGTTTATTCAGTCCACAAACAGACTATATGTATTGTATACAACACTTTACCCATACAAGACTTAAATCATTGATGTTCCAAAGGATTTTCATTTGTCCTAAGGTTTGTTTTGTGGTACAGAGGAACTGGTGACTGGGCTTTCTCGTGTATCATGGGAAAAAGTAGATGTGAGCTTTCACAATAGTAGATCCAGGTTTGCTGCTCATAGTGTTATTCAGGTACTACTACTTTTTTTTTATTTTTTTTATTTTTCTTCTTATCTTGTAAGCTTAAAAACAAGAAATTTTACAAGCAAATAAATAATGGTTTTACTTTTATGCCCTTATTGGATGTAGGTAAAAGATGACAACCTGCATACAGATGGGGCAGATGTTATTCAACATATGATTGATCATTTTTGTCTTTAGAACTCCTGCCAGCTATCTACTAATTAAGGTACTGGCTTAGAGCGTGTTGTACAGAAAGCAGTTTATGATGTAATTCCAAGAATTTTATATGCGAAACACATGACATGGGTGTTTTGAACTATAATACATAATATATATTTCATATAAATTTTAAGTTCCTTGGTTAATTGCTATTTTGATATGTGAATATGGCATGCACATAGTTTTTAACAATTATGGTCATTTTTTCAAAGTTTAATGAATATTCACAAAATTGAAATACCCAAAATGAAGTTTATTGATGTCAGGCGTATAAAAAAAAATAGTTTTGGGACTTCATACATGATGTAGAAGATGTCTCTTGAAATAAGCCAAAGAGGTTGAAACATTTGCCTTCATTAGCTAAATTCTGAATGCAATTATGTACTCACGTAGTCACGTTCATGCTGGTTTAGTTATACCAACTTGTTTAATTTTTAGTGTGCCTTTTTTTTTTTTATTATTATTATTATATTTTTTTATGATATATGTGAAATTATTGACAAATTCATTATTTCATGTTTGATTACAAAATCTTTTGGCAACTTCAGTAATTTTTAATTATTAAATCACCAATGAAGTTTTGGATGTCTATCTTGTCTTCCATACAAGAATGGCTGACGTGAGATTGTATTTAGATTTGGGTTAAGCGCTTCTAAAACTCTAGTTTCATACATAATTTTTGATGACTATGACGGGATGTGTTGAACAACAAGTTTTAAGCTTTTGAGAAAAAAATTGAACTAAATAAAAATATTTTTTTTTGTTCGGAAGTACAAGCTTAAAGTATTCTTTTTAAACAAAAAACTATTAAATCCAAAAGCAAAATCAAGTAGTTTTGAGAACTTTTAACTTAAACAAAAAACTATTAAATCCAAATCCAAAATCAAAATCAAGTTGTTTTGTTTTAATTTTTATGTTATTTTATACTTTAGTGATGTGATGAATACAAGTGATGTTTGCATTGAGGTCAATTAATGGATTGTAAGTAAGAGAGAATGCATACATGTCATGTTAGTACTAAAATGATCAAGTTGTGAAATGTATAGGGTGACATCACAAAGTACAAGTCATGATGTCTATAGATTTAAATGTTTAAACTGAGATGTTGCGATTTAGCCAGAAGAATGAAAAGTTTTTTGTACGACATGGGATGATATGTTTGGCGTGGCACGAGCAAAATATTAAACGAAAAGTGTTGTGTGATATCCATCCGAGTATATCATAAAGTTACTTTGTGAATTTAATGTTAGTTTGCGATGCCATTTTCGAAAACTACATAATAAACTTATAAATTGGTTATTATGTCGCATATGATATTTTTTTTGTTTTATATATATATATATATATAATATATATATATATATATATATATCTTATATATAATATTATATTATATTATATATATATCTATAGGGGATTTGAATATTAATGGGCTTATAAAAAATCTTGAATATATTATATATATATATATATATATATATATATAATAACATTATGAATTTTTCTGTAACTACTATGGACTATTTTTAATTTTAAACAAAAGCATCACTTTTCCTAATTATAACACCAAAATAAATTCAGAATTCGTAAGGACATACAAGTTAACGTTATTAATATATAAACAAATTATTTATATGTACACATGAAATAATAAAATATTTATATAAAAAAATAATAAAGTTAAGATAGAAAATAGAAGATGGTTGACAGAAAGGATAAGTTTTCTTCATCTTTTGTCCGCACTCAACAATCTTTCAGCACATTTCAACATAATTCTCACATCCTATTACTTACACCATCAAATCCCAATTTTCAACCTTATGAACAATTACAATTATACAAAAAACTCTAAAGAAGACAATGGGTAAGTTAAAGACATACGCATTTCACTGACGAAGGCGCACATTGCTGCGGTCAGCAAGAGGGTAAAACTGCGACGACGACCAACACAATACGATCATCGACCATTGTGTTTGACATAGTGGCTGATAGGTGGAGACGCAAAGCCTTGGCAATGATTAAAGCACCCAACGGTTCAACAAAGGGCCAAGAGGCGGAGAAAAAAGAAAGAGTGTGGAGTGAGACTAGACTTGTGGGGGTAAGTAACAATGGAAAATTCAACGACATACGATGGTAACCTTTGAAAAGAGGTTTTGAGTTTTTTGAAAGATTTTAAATTTAGTTTTTTTTATTGGGATTGGGCGGATTCTAAAAAATTTTAAACTTTTTTGAAAAGTTTTGTTTATATACTTATCTCTCATTCTCTCTATAGATAACTGGGAGCAAGTTTTATCAATTTCTTTAAAAAATATTTAATTATTTTAATTAAAAAATAAAGTTATGTGACCTTATATTGATGTATTGCCTCTTTTTAATTTGTGAATATGTTCATCCGTGTTAGTATAACCGAGGCATTTTGTAGTTTGTTTAAAAGGTATATAATAGGTTTAATTATATAAAGAAATTTATGGACAAGTTAGGGGGGGGGGGCCTACTGCCTCCGCCACTATATATATATATATATATATATATATATATATATATATATATATATATATATATATATATATATAGTGGCGGAGGCAGTATATATATATACGATTTAAAATTTCAATCCAATAATCTGATATTATGTTGGACACATTGAGTCAATTATGCCTATTATATCGTAAACTAAAAAGAACTTTATATTAGAAGAATACTTATGTTTAAAGAGATCGAATTATTCGTGAGCTACTTGGGATCGACTTATTAAAAGTTTGACTCAAACTTGAGTTAAACGAGCTCGAACTTAGTTTTAGACTCATGTATTAAACGAGTCCGAGCCCGAGCTTCATTTGCCAAGCTCGATTAGACTCGTGAGCCTAAACGAACCTATGTATATTTATATAATACAATTTTTATTTTTAATTTTATATATTAAATTATAATTTAATATCAAATATCAAATAACGATAAACGAGCCTTTTAACGAACTTAAAAACACAAACGAGCTTGATATTTGACTATTAACCTAGACGAACTCGTGCCGAGCTTTAGTTTGTTTATACTTACCTGACAAACAAGTCGAGCACGAATATTTTAAATTCTTTACAAACCGAGCTCGAGCTTTAAAAATCAAGCTCCAGCTCAAGCCTCATAAATTTTAAATTTTAACCTAGAAGAATATGATGTGAAAACATAAAGAAACTAAAATTACCCTTTTTGAGAAACACTTATATCCAAATTTAGACGGTGATTCATATTCGCTCAAAATTTTATATCGAATTTGACCATCGCCGTTCCCAAGAGTAACTTCAACCTGCATATACTCGTCTCTCCGCCCAAAATCTCTTGTAAAAAGCATTTGATTTATTCAGTCATTCAGTCAAAAATCATACTATCAATGGATCTTTCACTGGCTTCTTCCCCTCAATATTCAGCTTTCTCTCACTAAAACGCTACCATTTTCTCCAAGATTCCACAAACCCCTTCTCTTTTTCACCAATTTCACTTCTGAACCCCAAATATACTCCAGGAAGTCATTAATCACCTGTTGTTACCCTATCAGAGCTCAAACTTCGAATCTGAGTAACACTCCGACCGATGAAGATGACGATGAAGGTTTCGTCCTCGAAGACGTTCCTCACTTGACGAACTTCCTACCTGATTTACCGGTATTTTACATCACTGTTTCACTTTCCAAGTCAATCAAACAAGTTCTTAGTTTTAAAATTACTTATGTTTTGAGAAAAAAAATGATGATCAGTAAGATATGATACCAACAAAAAATCTCTGTATCCGCTTTAGTGACAGAATCCTATTTATTTGGAACTTGAGTCCACCATTTTTTCCCTCAAGAATCAAATTTACCTTTTTGGGAGTAGTCCAAGTTTGATCACCTAATGTACTTTATCCTTTGGCCTTCATATATTATCCCTTAGTTCCGATCCCAACCATTTTCCAAACTCTACGAAGATCAAAGATACATCTTTCTGTAAAAAATTCGTGAGCCTGAAGACATTTGTGATTTTAAACTAAATGAGACTCTTTTCTTACTTGGTTTTTGATAATCTTTATTTTAATCTTTTTTCTTGCAGACATATCCAAATCCGTTAGAGTACAGCCAAGCCTATGCAATAGTTAAGTAAGTTTTTCCTTCTTTCAAGATCTTTAATGTTATGCTTATAAAGTTATAACCATAACTTGTGCACTAATCTTTACAAAACATGCCTACTTTTGCAACTTACTAAATAAATTATCACTCTTTTCCACAGGAATACTTTTGTTAGTTCAGAAGATGTTGTAGCACACCAAGTACATAAACTATTTCTCTTAAACTATTCCACATAGACACATCCCTTTTCACAGAAATCTAATTTGGTCTTAAACCTTGACATCTAATTGCAGATTGTTGTTCAGAAAGGCAGTCCAAGAAGGAGTGCACTTTAGGCGTGCAGGACCTCGTGAAAAGGTAATTTGTGATGATTTATTTAAGCTAGTTGTCACTCACATAACATTACACATTCTTAGTTCATTTTGGTGTAAGAAATTTTATAAAACATTAGGTTTATTTCAAGCCAGAGGAAGTACGAGCTTGTATTGTGACATGTGGCGGATTATGTCCAGGGATCAATACAGTCATCAGGGAGATTGTATGCGGGTTGAATTTTATGTATGGTGTTAATAACATACTTGGGATTGAGGGAGGGTATAGGGGTTTCTATTCAAGAAACACCATGGAATTGACTCCAAAAATTGTGAATGATATTCATAAACGTGGTGGAACTATTCTTCAGACTTCAAGAGGTGGTCATGATACAACCAAGATTGTTGATAACATCCAGGATCGTGGGATAAATCAGGTTCATGTTATATTGTTATTTTATTTCCCTTTACAACAACAAATTTGATCTTTTTCAAGAAAAGTTTTATAAAATCTTGGTGTTTTTACTTTTAGGTTTACATAATTGGTGGTGATGGCACTCAAAAAGGAGCAGCTGCCATTTACAAGGTGATTCCTTTTTTTCAAAGATTATGTTCTTTTTTAATTGCTTTATAAAGGGCTGTTTCTTTTTGACTTAATAGGTTAAACACTTAATGCGGACAGATATACACTAAACCTTTACCTATTTGCCCTTCTTTTTCCCTATCACGCTATAATGTAAGGGTAAAATGGTCATTTCGTCTGATTCAGACTGTTTATTGAGGTCTAGAAAAGAAGCTAACCTTATGTATACGACACTTTATCTAGACATACATCATTATCCATTCAGACACTTTACCCATACAGGATTAATTCTGAAAAAAAAAAGAATTTATTTTTGTTATTTTCTGAAAGGAAGTTGAAAGGCGTCGCCTTCACGTGGCAGTAGCTGGGATCCCCAAAACAATTGATAATGATATTGCTGTAAGTTATTTAAACCATTTCTTTTTTCATTCTTTTATTAAAATGGAGGTTAATAATAATAATAATATTACATAATTGTTTTCAGGTAATCGACAAATCTTTTGGGTTTGATACTGCTGTAGAGGAAGCTCAAAGAGCAATAAATGCTGCACATGTGGAAGTGGAAAGTGTTGAAAATGGAGTTGGAATAGTCAAACTCATGGGTCGATACAGTGGCAAGTATCTATCTTCATATACATTTCATGAAATAAATTGTTAAAAAGTTAATTTTTATTTTTTTTTAATCTCTTATTTATTCTTCCAAACTTGTTTGATCTTTTTCAGGATTCATCGCCATGTTTGCCACGTTAGCAAGTCGAGATGTGGTAACTAAATAACAAATTTGTAATATTGTTAGTTTTATTAATCTGTAATGCAAGAATAAGATAGATATGTTAATAATAATTAATAGGTGCTATGTATATTATTGTAATTGTAAAACAGGATTGCTGCTTGATTCCAGAGTCTCCATTCTATCTAGAAGGGCAAGGTGGTCTTTTTGAATTCATTCAGCAGAGACTTAAAGAGAACGGACATGTGGTGATTGTGTTGGCTGAAGGCGCAGGTCAAGAATATGTTTCTGATAGTGTGAATGCAGTTGAAGAGAGAGATGCATCTGGAAATAAACTGCTTATTGATATTGGTCAATGGTTGACTCAGAAAATTAAAAACCATTTTGCAACGGACAAGAAAATGGCCATAAACATGAAATATATAGGTACACACTTGAATATATATATATATATATATATATATATATATATATATATATATATATATAAGTGGCTGGCTGAATGAGATGAAATGACTATTGTACCCTTGCAGATCCAACATACATGATACGGGCTGTTCCAAGCAATGCATATGATAATATCTATTGTACACTTCTTGCTCAAAGTGCAGTTCATGGGGCCATGGCAGGGTTTTCTGGTTTTACAGTTGGACCTGTCAATAGCAGACATGCATATATTCCAATACAGGTAATTAAGCACTCTTACTCTCTCATATTTACATTAATTATATTATTATTGCCAATTAATATTTATAATTTATAATTATAATTGCAGCGTGTGACGGAGGCTACAAATGTTGTTAAGTTGACGGATAGGATGTGGGCTAGACTTTTGGCTTCTACTAATCAACCTACATTTTTGGAAAAACTTGAATAATAATAATAATAATAATAGATAATCTTCAACTCTTCATCCAACAATATTCAATCTCTTTCCGAACATCTGATTTTGATGTGATGCTGCCAACAATGGATTAAGATGTTTGGGGTCCTTGTTATGTGATTAAAGATACTTTACAACTTTCTTCAGGATATGCGTTTTTCCTATATATTTAGACTTTAGTTAATGAAATAATAAAATAAAGATTCAATTTTAGTACCGGGCTTATTATGTGTTGAAATAAATAAAGTCTCATTTTAACACTTTGAGAAGTGAAGTGATGGCATATATATCCTTTCACACTTGTATGATCGATCTCAAATGAAGACATTCTCATGTGTCAATACCCTCTCCTAAAATTGGGGTCCTACCACCAAAAGGAAAATCGAATATCTCTCTACACCAATTATCGACTCATGGAATACCAATATTTTCCATCCCCTACTGTGTATGGAAGCAACCCAGTTTATCACACACAAATTCATTCGTTTATTGCAATCTAAGGTTGTTTGGCGTGCCATACCAGCTTATTTTTGAGCATTTTAATTTATCACTAGGGAGTTAAACTCTCAACATATACTGGTCCTAGGTTGGAATCACATGTGCTTCAACCTTTTAAAAGTTTAGGGACCTTAGATGTACAAAAAAAAAAAAAAAAAATGACTTATTGATTTGGGCTGCGAATTGACTTCAGTGGCATAGAGGTTTTACTAGGGGTGAGCAAAAACCGCACCGCAACTAAAATTAACCGTAAAAACCGCATAAACCGCATAAACCGCAACCGCAATAAAAACCGATGGTGTGGTTTTATGTTTTTCAAAAACCGCAAATTTGCGGTGCGGTGCGGTTATTAGTTTTCAAAAACCGCAAAAAAAACCGCACCGCACCGCATATATTATATATAATTTTTTTATTAAATATTAATATATTAAATATTAAAAATAAGACAAGTTTCATGGATGAAAGAAATATAAAATTTTAGAAGACAAAAGTGTTGGTTTTTTCTTATGTTTAACTTTGGAAAATGGTGAAATTTGACAATTTTAAGATATTTATTATTAATTACTAGTGATTTAAAGTTTTTAAGATATTAGTTGTTTGTAATTTAAGTTAATTGTCTTATACTTTATGGTTTTTTATTATTACAAGTAATATGTTTGAACTCTTAAAGCTGTTTGAACTCTAAAGTGCGGTTAAAAACCACAAAATAACTGCACCAAATCAATGCGGTTAATAACCGAAAAACAAAAAATCAAAACCGCACCGCAAAAAATAACCACCTAACCGCACCGCAAAAATAACCGCACCAATCGGTTTTGAAAATGGATTAACCGCATTTGCGGTTAGTGGTGAGGTTTTGGTCAATAACCGCACCGAACCGCACCGCGCTCACCCCTAGGTTTTACAGTGTCTAATAGAACATCACAATGCCATTTTCACTGATGCAAATGAGACTGTTTGGAGGTGACTCGTATTTCTTCATCATTTTAAAATTTGATTCAATTTTCTCATCAATAAAATTCATTCTCTCATATCATCAACCTTACCATAAACTGGAGCTTTCCTTTTTGGATTGCTGGTGATTTGTATATTCTGTCTCATAATGTTTTTAGGTTAGAAATGTATGCAAAGTTTTTTTTTTAATTTTTTTTATAAGAAAGGTTATGACGTTTGGTTTTCCTTTTGTAATTCTTGATTTGCATAAGAACTCGGCTTAAATTCTGTTTTTATAGTTGGGCCGAAGCCCATAACAAAAGTATTCTATTACATCATTGAGAATTTGAGATTTATCTATTGGGCCTACATTAATATCACATAAACAAAATACAATTTCTTAGGATAAAAAAAGTATTATAAATTTTAAATCATAAAGATATCATCGATGTAACATAAGCAATGTATTATAATTTCACAATTATCGATACAAATTATACAAAAAACACAATGGTTTAAAAAAAAATCGATTTTAACACTGTATTATTTTTTGTTACTATTTAGTAACTAATTTTTTTAATTTTTTACAACGATGTCTACTTGAGCGGTCAATTCAATTAGTCGTTCATGTGTAGGTTTTTGGTAACATGACAACTAACATTAAATGAAGACGTGTCAAAATTCAAAAAAAAGTTGCATAAAAGATACTATTTTTTTTTGTATAAATACATATTTTTTATGTTTAAACCATAATGTTATACATAAATATGTATTATTTGTATTATAACCATATTTTTTATTAAATATGTAATTTTAATGAAATACGGTTAAATGCTAATAAATACATGAAATACGGTATAAGTATAATAAAAATGAATTTTAACATATGAAACCATATAAATACATTTTGTTTACATTTAAAAAGCACATTTTTGTATAAATACAAGTTTTTTCGGTTTAAACTATAATGTTATACATAAATATATATTTTTTGTATTATAACTGTATTTTTCATTAAATATGTAATTTTAATGAAATACGATTTCAATGTTAATAAATACATGAAATGCGGTATAAGTGTAATAAAATATGAATTAACTGTAATATATTTTGTAATTGAGCTCTTGGTAATTAATGGTTGATATTTAACTTGCTAACAAAAAAGATTATGATCTTTTGTTGAATCTTTATCTGCAAATGCTCCAACAACTATCAAGAAAAAAAATGTCAAGAGAAAAGAGGAGAGTTTAGAAAGAAGAAGACCAAGAGGGAGATATATGTTTATTGATCAAGGAAGAGAAGGTAAAACAAAATTGTTTTTGGTTTATGAAAAAAAGAGACCGGTAGATGTTGAAAAAAACAATAGAAGAATATAATCGAGTAAAGAATTCGTGAAAGTGAAAATAGAAAAATAAATATGTTTATCAAGAAAGTGGTTCTTAGATAATATATATGGATTGTATTTAGAGAAATAATATGTACCGTCCCAAAATTCATAAGTAAAAGTTTCATTTTTAAGTTCATCAATCCCAATCATCACATGTCTCAAAATCATCCAAAATACAAACTATCACAAAATATCAGAGTAAAAGAAATCATAAATGCAGAAATCACGAGGGGTGGGGGGTGGGGGAATGCTATGCCATCACGCTGGGCCCTTCCTTTTTGTACCGGAATTACCTGAAACCAAAACATATATGTAAGCACAAAGCTTAGTGAGCTTCCCCAAAATACCACATATATCATACACATAAATATAATATCACCTGCCTGTATCAGGCCCGCAACAACCCCCAGGTCCGTATCAACCCTCGAGTCCGTATCAACCCCATAGAAAAACAATTAGGGGTCGTTTGATAGTTGTTAACTGAGTTAGAGCTGACTGGGTTAGCAGCTGATTGAGTTAGAAGTTCTGACTGAGTTAACTTCTGACTGAAACTTGTTGTTTGATTTTGCATCTGACTGATACTTTAAAATGACTATATTGCCCCGAGACAACATTTTATAATAATTCCTTCACGACTTACCATTTAATTTATAACACTACAAAATACACCATTTTCAATTTAAAAAATCATAAACAAAAGAACATGATCTTGGTAAGTAAAGAAGATAAATGAATTTTGGATAATTAATGCATATAGAAACACATTTATGGAGTGTATACTTCCCAAATTGTTCTTTAATCAGATCAGTTTATGTATACCACAAATAAACAATTTCAACTTCATCAATTGTTGGCCTTTAGAACATGTTATGTAGTATTTTACACCAAATAATATACCCTTCATAGATATGAGCTTTGCCATTACTCTAAAAATAACAATGGACATTGAAAACAACAGGAAATTATAGTGAAATGTCGCAAGCTAACCATTAAAACTGGTAGAAAGACATCAGACCTTTATAAAGTACATTTTAAATAACTCAATTCACTTTGACCATTTTGCTAGAAATAGCAATGCACATCAGACAGAAAAACACCAAAAATTAGCAGCTTGCTTATGAATGGTCAATTGAAACAACATATAACAACTATTCATCTGTGTCTTGAACTTTTGACATCCCACCGAATCAAAGAATTGAAGTTAGAGAATACTCAAAAGATAGCAACAATATTTATGGTGAAAACATCATAGATTTAAGTAATTATTCCATAACTATAACCAATAAGAGCTCATGTCGTACATAAAATTTCAATTTGCAATTGATCAAAAGCGAGATACAAAAAGGAATCGAGAACTCAAGAACTTAATTGTCTCCTCGTCTTCTATGTATCCTTTTTCCCAAATTTTTGTTTACCGTGAGAAGTAGGTTATTGCCCTAACAACGCTCCTCATTTTGAAGGAATCTAGAACTCAAGAACAACCGCAAAGCAGGGACGTTGAGATGCTAGGACGCATGTCGGAATATCTCAGATCTGGGACGTTGAGATGTTGCGATAATGTGGAGGTCGCCGCCGACAGATGCTGGTGAGGTGTCGCCGGTCGAAGGAAGCGTAGATGTAGAGGTGAATTTCAGTCGTCTATAAGGAACGAGAATTGCTGCTGTGAATTTCTCCAGTTGTCCCGGTCCTTCAAATTTTGAGAAGGGACCGAATCAGATGAATATCATAGACCGAGTCTAAGGTTTGGACCGAGTCCATCAGTTTAAAAGCCAAATCAAACTTGCCAAATCAAAATTTTGGACCCAATCTACATTTGGACCCGGTTAGAAGCCTTATCAAACAAGCCCTTAGTTGTGTTGGGTCCGTATCAACCCCCGGGTCCGTATAAACCCCGAGTCCATAATAAATCTGAGCCCAGATTGGCTCCATGCATAATTCATACAATCATATAAATAATAATCACATAACCACATACATCCTACACATACAAATCAGTGGGTCGACATTGGTGCCTTCGACCCACTAGTGTGGTGAGAAGACTCACCTCAACTGAAGATATCTGAAACACACACTCGGGTTGCTGCTACTACGACTCCTTACACTGATCATAACCTATCAACTCTATTTAATAATCGGGATTTTAACCCCGTAATCGAAGGTCTAATTCTTCATTTAACTTACTAAGGGCAGAAGACCATTTTGCCCTTCCCTTACATGACCCAACTAGACAAGGCCCAAAACTCCTAATGGCCCAGGGCCTAAAGATGGCCCAAGAGTGCTTTCTGGGAGTACACCTTGCGTACTCCTAATTACACTCAACGTACATCTCGATCTCGA